CTTAGAGAAGTATGATTACAAGGCATTTATACCAGCAAGGGCGATGGAAACAATCGGAGTACTCAGGTATGTTCCCATTAGCATAAGTAATGAAGAACTGTTTAAAAAACTATCATCGAAATATGAGGTCGTTGCAGTGCGTCGTTTCACAAAAAAAGTTAATGGACAGATCAAACCGTTCAGCTCTGTAAGTGTAACTTTTTTGTCAACCAACTTACCTGAATTTGTACATCTGGATTTATTCCAATATAGGGTGCATCAGTATATTGCCCCGCTTTTACAATATTTTAAATGCTTTAAATTTAATCACAGAGCCAAAATTTGTAAATCAGTGCAACGGTGTTCAATTTGTGCAGGTGAACATACACTACACATATTACGTACACTGAATGTAAGGAAAATGCGTTAATTAAATGCATAAATTGTAGTGGCCCTCATGTCGCAATTTCTAGAGATTGTCCATTAAAAAAACAAAAAATTGATGAAAAATATAATAGGTCTACTTATGCTAAAGTCTTACAAACAAAACAAACTCAAAATTTATTTAACAATTATAACGAAAATTTCCCTTCAATGCCTACAAAAAAAACAATGGATTCAAAAACAGATCAATCACAAGTTAAATCTAATGACTCTCCTAAAGTACACAAATCAAAGACGGAAACTACCCAAACTAATACCACAACTAATAATAATGACACACTTATTGACCAAATTATAACAAATGACAATATTTTGAAATCAATTATTGGAGCATTGGTGGCCATGGGTAACTCAGGTCGTAAACTGACTACATCAAGTATAAAAGAAATGCTTATTACTAATCTCAAAAAATAATGAATAAACAATTTATTCAAATTTCACAATTTAATATACAATCTGTTAATAATAAAAACCTTTGCTTATTAATTATCTAGTTGAGAAAGATATAGATATTTGCCTGTTAAATGAAACATGGCTGTGAGAGAATAGAACTATCAACATTCCTAACTATAATTTCACTAATCAGAATGGAAAAAATGGCCGTGGAGGAGTAGCAATATTAATTAAAAATAGTTACAAATATTTTGTTGTCCCCACACCGTTCTATGATTATATGCAGTTGGTAGCTATAACCCTTACTACAAGTCTAGGTAATATATCCATTTTATGTGTCTATGCCCCACCCAGTGGAAGTCGCTTTAAGGTCAGAAGATTAAAACAAATTATTAACAGTCTACCTGCGCCACTTTTGCTTTCAGGTGACTTAAATGCTCATCATATTGCTTTTGGATGTCTCACAACAAAAACTAGAGGCACTGATATCTATAACATGTTAGACGAATGTAATCTTTGCATATTAAATAATGGACCTCCAACTACAGTAGGAAGCATTAATTTTAATCAATCTTTTATCGATATTTCATGTGTTAGTCCTTCTTTAGTTCATTTATGTGATTGGCATGTATATGATGATCCTATGGGTAGTTATCACTATCCAACCATAGTCGACTTATATACCTGTGTTGAAAAATATGATATAGGAGAACCTTGCGAACATTTCAATTATAAAAAAGCAGACTGGTCAAAGTTCCAGGCTGAAACAAAAAAAAAGTTTGAAAACTTCACAATTGATACATCAAATTAACTTGATTCGTATGAAAACTTCTGCAACACACTTCTAGAAATAAGGAAAGAATGTATACCTATAATTTCCAAACCTAATGTGTTTGTTATGAGAAAACCAGTTCCTTGGTGGGACGCGGACTGTTTGGAAGCTGTAAAGAAAAGTAAAAATGCTTTAAGATTTTACAAATTAAATAGAAAATTATATAGAATATAAAAAGATTGATGCCTTCAAAAAGAGATTAATTAGCGAAAAAAAGAAAACAAGTTGGAGACGAATTTGTGATTCATTTAATAGATATACTCCAATAACTTATATCTGGAATTATATTAGGAGATTTAAGAGGGTACCTATACTTAAGCCATCAAAAAATGATGATTGGATTCCTTCGTTTTTAGATAAATATGCACCCATAACAACACCTTCTGAAAAGGAAATAGCTATTTTAAACTTAAATACAATATTTAATCAGATAGGTACTGACAGTAGCTCTTTTCTATTGAAAGAATTTACTTGGCATGAATTTACTGCAGCCATCCAATCAAGGAGAGATTCCACTCCGGGAATGGATGATATTCCATACAAACTTATTAGCAACATGCATGTTAATGGACAAAAAACTATTTTAAAAATATTTAATATGGTTTGGGACAATCAATGTATTCCAAAGTCTTGGAAAATGCAATGTGTGATACCTATTTTGAAACCTGATAAACCAGAACATGACTTCAACTCCTACAGGCCAATTTCACTTTCCTCTTGTGTAGGAAAATTATTGGAATATATGTTGAAAAACAGACTAGATTATTACATAGAAGCAAATAATATTTTACCTGAACAACAATTTGGTTTCCGGAAAGGAAAAAGTGCAGCAGAGAGATTTGCCTCTTTGATCTCAGTTATAAATCATTCTTTTACCAGACATGCAACTACAGTTTGTGCATTTATTGATATACAAAGTGCATTTAATAATGTTGATCCTTCCATATTGGTAAATATTCTGTGTGAGATTGGTATTCCTGGAAAAGTATGTAAATGGATTTTTCATTTGCTATATGACCGAACTATGTATGTTAAATTTAATAACATATTACATGGCCCTAGAAATGTATACAAAGGCACCATGCAGGGTGCTACTATATCTCCCTTGTTATATAATATATATACATGTTTAATAAGTAAATATTTTAGAAATAGAAATATAAGCTTTTTGCAATTTGCTGATGATCTCCTTGTGTATACTGTAAATAAAGATGTAAATATAGCGGTAAACAAATTTAGATTTAGCATTAGAGCAAAATCATGATTTTTATTTAAATAAGTTGAAATTAAACATTAGTCCTAGTAAAAGTGGAGCTCTCATTTTTTCCAAAAAATATTATACAGGTGATAATTTTGTAAAATATAATAACATACCATTGCCTTGGTTACAGAAAAAAAAATTTTTAGGTATATTGCTTGATCAGAAGCTAACTTTCCAAGAACATGTAAATAATCTGTGTAAAAATACCTGTAGGGGTCTCAATGTGTTAAAATCATTCGCAGGTTTGTATTGGGGAGCTGACCCAAAGTTGTTATCAATGCTTTATAAAAGTATAGTTCGAAGTCATTTTGATTACAGCACATTAGCATACTTAAATGCAAACAGATTGATTTTAAAGAGATTAGATATAATTCAGAATAAAGTGTTGCGTATAATAACTGGGGCTATGTGCTCTACACCAATCCATGTAATGGAAGTAGAAAGTTGTATTCCTCCACTTTTACTAAGGAGGCTACAAATTGATGAACGGTTTTGTGTTAAATTAATCAGTTCAAAAAATAATTTACTTTAAAAAAAAATACTTCCTTATGAAGTTCCTGAGTTTGATGATAGCTCATACATTGATGTAAATATACTTTTATCTGATCGATTACCAGACATCCTAAGGATTGTTTTATACTCACAGACCTAAACCAAAAATGTGTATCAAAGTAAACCATGGCTTTTATATAAAATAGAATATGATGCTTTACTGAACATTAATGTTTCTGTATGTCAAGAAAAAGTGAATTCTCAAATGGAAATGTTAAGATATCTAGCTGATAATGATTTTTATACAATATATACAGATGGATCAAAATCTGAAGAGTACACAACTTCAGCATTTTATGATTCACAAAACAAAATATCTAAAACTTTTAAAATTCTATTTTCTCTATTTTTACAGCTGAATGTTATGCAATATACTTAACTTTATTGTACATAAAAAATATTGCGAACTCACAGTTTCTAATTGTAACTGATTCAAAGTGTTATAACAGCTATTGAATCTAACAAAATGGATTACAAAAAAAATTACATTATATATAATATAAGAAACTTACTAAACAATCTTAGTAAAATAAAGAAGACTGTTACCTTAATGTGGGTCCCTTGACACTCTGGGATAACTGGGAACGAGGAAGCAGACATTGCTACTAGAGACATACAGACATATTCTCATCAACATATTCAGACCACTCGACAATGCTGGAAATACCATTTACAGATATATATGCCTTGTTAAGCAAGAACTTGAGATCCTTATGGAAGGCATACTGGGAAGAAATAAGCAAGTCCAAAGGAATTTGGTATTATGAAATACAAAAAAGCCCGCCAGCCACTCCTTGGTACAACAAAAAAGGGATTAACAATAGAAAATTCATTACGACTGTAAACCGAATGAGATTTGGACATAGCAGAGTAGCCGCCCACCTGCATCGTTTGGGAATGAAAGAAAATGCAAACTGTGAATATTGTGGAGACACGAAAGGAGACCTAAAACATCTGGTTTTTCAATGCAGTCAGTTTGGTTTAAATAGATTACTCCTCATTAATTCCATTCAAGATATTAACAATGATAAAGTTCCTGATACTCTTCAAAGTTTATTAGCTGATGAAAAATTCTTCCGACCATTATATTCCTTTATATCTGGTGTCCAAGATATATAAAAATGAGAACAACGTGTTATTAAACAATAGTGCAAACGTAAACAAACTGTGAAATGTGAATCAATGTGAAAGTGAATTTTTGATGATTGTATCGTAAAGTTAATACATTGTAACTTCAGGCTCAGAAGGGCTAGAACCCAGAGCCCTAAAGCCAGTTTATAAAAAAAACTGTGATCTATGCTATGAAGGTATGAAGATTTCTATAATCTATATAGTATATAGTTCAATACGCCTAAGGGTATTAGTGTTCTGTGGTTCAATATAGTTTGTGTATGAAGATTACTGCCGTGACTGCGAATAAATCATTGTAGGAACTAAGAATAAACATATAAACATATTATTTTTTGTAAATCGTTGAAACGTAGGCTTAAAATATTTACTAAAATTCTAAGCTTGCATTGGACAAAGTTAAAAATAATTATGACGTTCAGCGAAAGCTCCGTAATTTGGTATTTACGATACTTTGGCCTACCATTATCCTTAGGAATGGTGATTTATAAACTGTTAAATAAATCATCTTTGTGGAATCGAAAAGTTACGCTACAAGGAAAGGTAAGAATTATGAAGATTTATTTTGTTGTTGTGAACTTAGGATATCACAATATTACATGTTGGGTACCTATTAAATGTTGGTGCCGTGATAGCTCCGAGGCTAAGCGCTCGAAATTCCACAGTACGCGAGAAACCCGGGTTCGATCCCCGGCGGCATTAATGAAGTTGTTGCATTTGTATATGTGTGTGTATTTTAAGTGCTGGGAAAGACTTTCCATTGACGTCAGTCGAGTTTGGTGTTGATACGTATTTTTACAGAAAGATTACATTTTTATAAGCACACACACAAAGTTTCAATATGCGGAAACACGTACTTATTGAGAAAAAAGATATTGTAAATCAAATAATTTTGCAATATTTAGTCAATTCCTACCGTGAAACTGACGCCATTTTTATTGTTATTGTCAGTAGGGATGTCGATTCTTTCCGAAAAAGATCGATTTTTTAAATAGATTCAAATTGTAAGCTGATGTATCGATTCCCAAAAAATCGAATACTAAAATATCGATATTTTTTTCATGTTTGCATTTATAATGTAAATATAAATCCATTTTATGAGAAAAAAATTCCCTTCATCATAAAAAATAAGGGGACTGATTCAGAAGGATTTCTGTATCTATTTTGAGACTGCTACGTCTCCGGCGCTGCGGGAAGAGCAGCCTCTACGCCTTAGCGTAACAAATCGCAGGCATCCCTCCTCGATTTGCCTGCGATTTCTTACAGCAGGCGGAGGCTGCACCCCCTACGCGCCTCCGGCTCTATAAAACCACTCTAGGGGTAGGACAGACTCGTACCAGGCGGAGTCGGTGTCAATCAATTCGGTTCTTTGACATAAGTTGAACCTAACCTATTTTATTTGTTATCTGCCCTAATAGGTACTGTTAAATAAAACAAAAAGTTAAAGAGATCATTTATCATGGTATCTTTCTTGTTTTTCATAAAATGGGTTTATATTTACATTATAAATAGAAACATTAAAAAAATATAGATATTTTCGAAATCGATTTTTTGTGAACCGATACATCAGCTTACGAATTGAATCGATTTAAAATCGACCTTTTTCGGAAAGAATCGACATCCCTATTGACGTCGACAATGACATTACAAAATGGCGCAAGTTTTATGGTAGGATTAGACATAAACATTGCAAGAATAATTGATTTTCAATAATTCTTTTCTCAAAAATTACGAGTTTCCGCATGTTAAAACTTTGCGTGTGTGCTTATAATAGTGTAACTTTTAATAGTATAACTGTAAAAATACGTATCAACACCAAACTTGACTGACGTCAATGGAAAGCTAAGCCTCTTATTAACTTATTTTGTAAGTTTTAAGTAAACTTTGGAATTTACTTAAATTAATATTTAAGACTCACTTTTAAATTAGCCTTTAAACCTGCTTTTCACAATGGGATATAATATAATATATATTACATCTCGAGATATAAATTAATATGGCTCACCATACTTTTAAATGGAACTGTTTACACTGAGCGATAATATATATTACATCTCAAACTATAAAAAATGTTTTGATTGACTGAGTGATATTTCGCCTCCTGTACCCCGCACACCGTTTCGCGCCGCCGCAGAACGGTGTGCGGGGTACAGGGAGTAATCCAATGACGAATGCACACTGGTTAAAATATATATCTCACAGAGTGAAAGCCAATCGTAAGATATAATTTATACTCCAGGATATAATATATATTATATCCTATAGTGAAAAGCCAGCTTTACTTTTCATCTTTCTATTCTTGTACACTAGGTACATTTTGTAATGAGAAAATATAATTTAATGAATTGGTCATACTGTAACAATTTGCAACAACTGAGTTTGGTGTGACTGACCGACTTATAAAAGGAGGAGGTACTCAATTCAACTGTATTTTTTCATTTCTCTTGAGTTATCCTTTACTAAATTTCAACATCCAATGCAGTGCTAATGTTATAAGTCAGGTGTACACATAGTTTTAAACATAATATGTAGTTTTGAATATTTATTTATCATCATCATCATCACCATTACATCCCTTTGCAAGTCCACTGGCCATTGAATGGAACATTGGCCTCCGCCAAGGAATGCTACAAAGCACGGTCCTGAGCCACCTGAATTTTTCGACATCTTACCAGGTTGTCACTCCATCTAGTGGTGGGGCCACCCTACACTTTACCTACTAGTACGAGGCTGCCACACAAGAACCTTTCGTCCCCATCCATTGTTGGTACTTCGAGCTATATGGCCGGCCCGTTGTCACTTCAGCTTACTAATCACTCATTTCTACATTTATCACATAGAGAAATCCCGAGCATAGCCCTCTTCAAAGCTAGCTCAACCACATTGAGCTTCATCATATGGCCAGCAGTGAAGGACTGTCTCAGATCCATAAGTCATCACTGGCAGCATGCACTGGTTGTATAATCTTGTTTACAAGTTTTGAGGTATAAAACAACACAAAGAATACTTTGGGATTATTGAGCAGCATACTTGTTTTAACAACTTTTAGTGCCTTTGTTTACTTAGGTGGAGAAACAAAACGCTCAGATTATTTTAACAATTAAAAATTTTCAACTATCATATATTTTTGGTTAATCAGGTAGTAGTTATTACTGGAGCAAGTTCTGGAATTGGGGAAGCACTAGCTCATGTTTTCTATGATCAGGGATGTAGAGTAGTACTTGCATCACGAAGAAAGTCAGAACTTGAAAGAGTGAAACAAGATCTAATGTCAAAGAAAATTGTAAGTAATTAGTCTTAGTACCTGCATCACAGTATATATGTTTAGTTCTCAATGTAGCCTCATGCACTTATTCTGTTTTGAAGCATTAAATCTATTTAATAAAAAAATTCAATAACATGATTTCAGTTACTAAAAATTGACCTTTTTCAATTTTTCCAGGCCTCCAGTATAGAACCTATTGTGTTGGAATTAGACCTTGCTGATCTAGATAATTTAGAAACATTTATCAATAAGGTTTATGATACAGTTAGCCATATTGATATATTAATTAATAATGGTGGAGTTTCTCATCGTGGCTCAATATTACATACAAAACTTGAAGTATTCAAACAAATCATGTACATAAACTACTTTGGATCTGTTGCCTTAACAAAAGGTAGTGTTGCTATATTATTATACCTTTATAAAAAATTGGATTCTGAACAGAAGTATTTATACTTGTACTATCCTTTTATTAAAATTCAGATCTTTATTAGAAGACCTCTAAATAATTATCTTATTTTAATTTTTAGCTGCTCTACCAAAGATGGTTGAACGGAAATGTGGTCATATAGTTTTTGTTAGTTCTGTGCAAGGATTAATAGGTTTACCAGACCGCTCTGCTTATGCTGCATCAAAACATGCCATGCAGGCATTTGCTGACTCTTTACGTGCTGAAATGAAACAACACAACATAGATGTATCTGTGATAAGTCCAGGATATGTTAAAACTTCTGTTTCTCTCAATGCTCTCACTGGGACTGGTGAGCGACATGGAGGTTAGTGTTTTAAGTGCTTACTGAAATAAATCACTTACTTGTAGCTTATTTTAATATATTAATGAATTAATTTCTAATCAATAATATATCAAATTAGAAATACATTAAGAATAACAAAAAATTCTTAGAAAGCTTAATGTGATTTATCAAATTGCGATCCCTAACTGTTATTCATAGAATATCATTGACAATGCAATCAAAAAGAAACAAAAGCTTGTCGTACGCAATTCTCTGGTTAAACCTCAAAGTGATCGTCGATATGTTGGCAGTTTGACCTACTTAGGTTCCATATATGAAAAAAATTGCTAATACTCTTCCACAGAGTGTCGTTTACGTGGCGTTCAAAACAAACAGTTCACTTAGAAATATCTATAATTATAAAGATAAGTTAAATATTCGTCTAAAGTCTGGTGTTTATAAACTTGTTTGTGACGAATGCCACGCCGTTTACGTGGGTCAGACTGGTCGCAACTTCGCAACACGTTATAAAGAGCATTTGGCCGCGTACAGGAATTGTAATCCCGATAAATCACATTTTGCCAAACATCTCTTGAACACTGGACATAGCCTAGCCAATGACCACTCCTTTAAAGTCTTACATACTTGTAATAAAGGGCTACCTATGACTGTGTGTGCTGGAACAGTTTGAGATATTAAAAAATAATAGCGGTAACGTTGCACTGCTGAATGAACAAACAAATGTTTCCAACTCTTCTCTCTTAAACATGTTTAAGCCTGCTTCTTGATGATATACATATCGCAAAATGGTCGTTTGTCACCTTCAAGGTGCGATGGCCAGCGATTTGTTGCGTGGTTGGAGGGTAGTCGGACGTTTCGCAGTAGTGTGTTGTTAATTTCACAGCAAATATCTACGTACGTCAGGTGGTGATTGATCGCATAACGAAATAGTTCGCTACGTAGTTGGAGCGCGGTTGCTTCAGCAAGTAGTTTAAATAGCAGTAGTTTCGACTCGCCGCTCACTTAGCGGCTAGTCTCCGCAGAGTCTACTTCACCTGAGGATGCCTCGTGTAGAGGCGAAACACATGTCGTGTTTTAGAGAGTGGTGTGTTGTGCCTAGTGTGGTGGTGCTGGGGATGGTAGTGTTGAGATTGACGGCGACAGGTATAGTGCGCGTGATTGAGGGAGGGTGGGAGGTCCCCTTAAAACTGGGCAGGACTCATTCTTTTCTTTCTTTCTTTACGCGGAATTAAGCAAATTAGTTTATAACAATCCCATTATAATGGATTTCCGCAAAGTAACGCCTCATTCTATTAATTATTTCAGTTATGGACAAGAGCACTGCAGCTGGCTTTACCCCAGAATATGTTGCTTCGAAGATTTTGGACACAGTTGTAAATAAAGACAATGAACTAATAATTTCTCAGTTTATAGGACATTTTGCTATTTTTGTACGACGAACTTTACCGTCATTATATTTTTATTTGACTGCAAAAAGAGCTACTAAAACTTCATAATATAATTTAGTAATGTTACAAGCTCAAGTTCAAGATATAGGTCTAAATAGATATAGGATAAATAAAAACTGCACACCTATTTTTACAACCTTAGCAAATTATGTAGGGGTTGATGTTTTTTTTTATTATATTTAAATGCGTCCACGCTAGGTTACCTGTTAAATAAAAGAATCATTTAAATTAGGTCATCAGTTTCTAGAGAAATATGTGAAAATATGTAAAAGAAAAATAAATATAAGTGTGCGTCGTATATCCCCCTTAGTTAAAGTCTGTTAACAATAAGTAATGATTTGCTTTGGTGTTGAAAGTTTGCTATTGACAATATAACAACCTAATAATAGTGTTATATTTTAGAGGCCCACTTCTGGAAGATGTTTTTTTTTATTTGTGAATTGTTAATGAGACATTCTAAATAAGTAGTCTCTAGTAAGTAAATAGTTTAATGGTGGTCCAATATTTCATGAATAATTCTAACTTTCTGGAAGCTAAAATTCGTGAATAAAATAATATGCAATGTGATCATTATCTTATTAGTGACTAGCGACCCGTGGGATTTATTTATGTGGCGTCATTTTGATTATTTAAAATGATCCACAACCAGTGGCGGCGTAAGGGGGGGGCTTTGGGGGCGGTCCAACCCGGGTGCCAAGCACCAAATAGCTACTATACGATAATAAATACCTACTATAGTATCTACCTGTCTACAAATATTATATCTTAATATGTATCGCAAATTTATTTTTATTTACTTCCGAACATAATTTATGAATAAATAAATGAGTTCAGATTTGGTAGCGCTCGGTCGAGTGAGTTACGCGATCGAAGAAGGATATATATTTGTTATAGATTTGTTTATAATCGACGCATTATTCCATAGTACCGTAGGACTTCATTGGAGCTTCTCAGATTCATCGTAAAGTCTGTTCCGAATCTAGCTAATCTTAGACACAGTCTAAGGTTTATTTTTACTATTTGTGTTTCGGTAGCTTCATGTAAAAGAAGCTATTCAAAACTCAAATTAACAAAATCTTAAGGTCCACAATGAGCAAGCGCGACTAACCAATCTTTCCATTTTATCTATCGAAAAGCACAAGAATGTAAATTTTGATAATGTAATAAAATATTTTATCTTAAATTTTACCTCCGTATAGTGACGGATAAGAATATCTACCCCACTTACTTCCTGTGGGTGTCGTAAGAGGCGACAGAGGGAAACAGAAGCAGAAGATGGGCAGCAGCGTCTATCTGATAACACCAAAACAACAATTAAAAAAAACTGAAGTTGCAAACCCGCTCGCCGAGTATTGCTATCACATATGGGCTGGTGGACTCAGTGGAGAGACGTGCTAAGAGGCTCATTGGTGAACTTGATTTGGTTGAAACTAATCTTGTCAGCCTTAAGAAGCCTCGGAGGCCTTAATTCAGCAGTGGACTTGTGAAAGGCTGTAATGATAATGATGATGAATAGAATAATTTGGCAAATTAAAGACCGGTAAGCATGTTTAGCATTTTGTTTTATTTGGGGAGTGCTTGATAGAAAACCGCCCTGGGTGCCAACCCACGCTACGCCGCCACTGTCCACTACAACTTTTTCTTCGTCTCTCAAAGTAAGTCGATCGTACTGAAATTTGTTGTATTAGCAGTACACTATCCATAAATGTCATTTGAAGTCAATCATACAATTCACTCGGTTTTCGTCACGCAAAAATGTTCCCAGCAAATCGAATTTAACTCATTGGAAAATGTGGAGGGAAATTTGAAATTAGCACATTCGTATACTTATATTTATTTGTATGAAACATATTTTCTTAAAAAAAAAAATATAACTAACCATGTCTCAAAAAATCTTATTTTTCTCAAAACTGGCTTGTCGTACATATATTATATGTACAACATTTCAGTGTTATAAATTATTATTAAATGTAATAAGTTCTAGCTTCGCGATAGAAAAGCCTAGTCAAAGAGTACCTACATTATATTTAAATACGCTCTAGTCCTAGGAGTATAGTGCTTTGCGCACTCGCAGCGCGACAAACATGTCGAACGTGCGAACGTACGAACACATCCACGACGGAGTGTTCTCCGTCGTGGATGTGTTCGTACGTTGCTTATAATTTATAGACATGGAAATACAGTGGGATATTTTCAAATTACGAATGCTACCAAAGAGAATTTTGCTATGGGATTCTTCTGTTAATTATTATAGGCTCCGAAATTTTGTCCATATTGTTTAGCTATTGGGAGCCAATAATAATTGCTAAAAAGTCAAAATGACCTTTCATGAATTTTTTTTTCTTCAAAAATATATTTACTTAAAAATACTTTTTACCCGACTGCCTCAAAAGGAGGGTGATATATGTATATATGTCTATTTGGCAAACCCGTAGCTTAAACGGCCTGAACGGATTTAAACATAATATGAGTGTCGTGAAATTTATCTTGGTGGTGGTATGAAATATTTCTCGTTCTAGTTAATTTATTTTCGCAATCGGGTATTTTTAATTACTGTTTTAACCATTGGGCTTCTTCTTACGAGTTTTTAGCAAAGATTCGAAACGTTGGGAATAAAAAATGTGATAAAATCTTTTAAAATTAGTTTTATTTAAATCCTAGTCCTAGTCTTAATCTAAAAATGTATTTATTTATTTGTGTACGCTTTCCTGCCGCAACGAATTTCCTACCTGCTAAACTATAAAAACGAAATAATATGTAGACGGCGTCACTGAAATTGGCACCCTTTGTAAAAAAATTCCCACGGGAATACCCAACAAACATTTACCACGTTGAGTAGACGTTTTGGTGGTAACTTAGTGTTATTTAGTATAATCGTATAAATGTTTTAAGGACGTTTACTCAACGGCATTTGGGTCCATTTTATTCAACTTAAGATGCTAAGAGTTTCGCGTAACAGTCATAAATACCTACTTAGTCACATAGTCGTCATATATACGTCGGCGATTTGACTACATGTCACGATAGCTATCGCGTCGAATTCGTGTCGATATTCGTATCGAGTAATGGCGAACAATATGACTATTATATAATGTAATCTTTGTATTATTGTCGTTTAAAGATGATGCAACTTGTATTGAACGAATAATATAACAGATTATATATCACGTTAACTTAATTCGGCAGTGTTTTTGACAGCCGAGTTAATATTGCATTTTTTCTTTGTTATTTGAGGTGATAGAACCATTTCATCAGTTGTAAACCATTGTGCAATCGAGTTTACTGATTAATGTGAGGTAAGTTTGTATTAAAATTTTTATGCGCTTTTAAAATTTTAATGTTTTTACATATATTTATTAATAATTTATTATGTGACTGCGTTATATGACAACTATAGAACTTCCCGACCTATAAAGTGCGTGTTCAATTTTCATTGTAAATGTGTACGCCATGACAGTTGATTTAGGGATCAATAATAAAATCATTAAACGCCTAACTAACTTAGTTTAAAGAATTTATATTTTAAGAACAGAAGGTGGTATATAACTCGGTTAAGTCTAAATAATACTTTTGTTTTAGGTAAATCTCACAATGATCTACAATTATGCCGATGTTAATTAGTTTTTATCAAAGATGGACTTCATCGAAATGATACTTGCACATTTGAAATGGTCGTGGTCATCTACTCATTTTATCTTTTGTTCTCGTTGTTATGGATGTGGTTCCCAGTAGTCCGTCGAAATAGACCGTTACATTTTATTTTAACACACAACAATGTAAAAAAAATATTACGTTACGGTTTATTTTGGTGCCCCCATCGCAAATATTTTGCTATCTATAATCATTTTCCAGAAGACGAATGCGAATATTGTAATTAGCCAGTTAATCATACCTACTTACCTATTTAAATTTGAATCATTAAATATATTGTAAGAATTTTGGAAACACGCTTCAACTTAATAGGTTAGCCATCTATACATATAATAAATCTGTAGTAAAGTCGTTTCTGCAATTCTAATATTTTCTGGAAAAAACAATTCCAGGGGACTAAATAAAGGGCACTGAATGCAAATTAGTGGTTTTTAGAATTTTTGTCTGTCTGTCTGTCTGTGTGTTACCGATTCACGCAAAAACTACTTGACAGATTTCCATGAAATTTTGTGTGTAAGTAGTTAAGAAATAGAGGCAACTTATAAGCTACTTTTTATCCGATTGAGGAACTTCAAAAAAAGAGGGTTAAGTATTTTCCTTCCTGTAGATGTTAATTTCTACTTTATATTATTGATTATTGATGTGTTTTTTTAAATGACACATTTAATTTTAAAATCTAATATGTATTATTATTATATAAATTTAAATCCTAAAATTAGTTTTAATCATTGCGTAATAATTTGAACTACGCCGAAAATAGTTTCACTTTATCAAAAGTATTAATGATATTTCTAAATTGAAGTCTACGCGAGCGAAGCCGCGGGTAAAAAGCTAGTATTTATTATATTTTACTACTATTGGTACAAGAGTTAAAAAATCTCTACAGTTGCAATTATTTTTTCGCCTCTCACATAATTAGCTATAAAAACAAAGTTTAGCATTTTTCATTACTTTTATTTATTCTGTTAGAAAATGTACAATTATAACTTGTTAAAAATTAGTAGCGTAATATCTATTATAAATAAAAGTCATAGAATTATTACGCAATAATTCTATGATCGATTGAATCCGAATAGAGTTTAACTGTCGTACCGAGTTACTTAATGGCGCACTGTACTAACACGGAGCCAATATGCCGCGCTCGCTCGCACTTTAGTCCGGCCGATGCCGCGATGTTTCGATTGCAGGAATATTTTCTCTAATAGGTTTGCTTCTCGCTCACGCATTTTCGCTTAGTCAGTCAGTTGTAGGTTTGTATTATAGTATGTAGTCGGTAATAGCGAGTGGGCGCTTGGCTATTAGATATTAAGATACCCTAATTATCAAGTAGCAACAAAATATAATAGGTAGAATTATTAAAGTGCTAATGTTTAATTTTTAATAAGATAGATTAAGAC